GAGCCGCAGCGGAGCCCGGGGAACACCGAGAGCCTGTTCACCAAAGGAACAGCTTAAGGCAGCTGTCAACAAAGTACCCCACCGAGAAGGAGAAGAATAAAAATATTGTTTTTTTTAAAAAAGGTCAAAACAAAAAGAAAATTAAAAAAAAAATGGCTGAATCAGGACACTGTGCATATTACACCTCACCAACAGATTATTACACACTCAAGGATTCTCAAGTAATGAACATGTAGCCGTTAAACGAATTATTACTCTGAAGACATTTATTACAAATGTCGGAACTTATTCATAAAACTGACTTGAAGAAAAAAAAGAATAAAATAAAAAGGGAAAGGAAAAAAAAAAAAAGCCAGAGCTGGGATCTTACATCTAAACACAGGTATACGCTGTTTTTATGAATAAGCAGTATTAACTACATTCTTAAAAGAGTTTTAGTGCATTGCATTCTTAAAAAAGAAAAAACATCACCGCCCCAAAATGTTTCCTACAACATTTAACAGTTTACAGAACTAGCCTAGTTATTTTTACCTGCCTGTTGCTAAGCTCACGTTAGAAGAGTGAAGCCTCTGCTTTTAGGCTAAATTCAGACTTCTGTTAAGGATGAAACTGGTTCAAAAAAATGCTTGCTTTCCAAATTTAGTAAGCAAATTACATTTCTCAGTGTCTCACTGCCATAACGCTACCGCTATTGCCCCAATGGACCACTCTCTCCTCCTGCCGAAACTTGCTACACAATAACAGTCAGAAACGTTTCCATCTGGTAGTTTTGGTATTAAGATTAAATTAGACATTAATGGTTTTCATCTAAAAACGTATAAACTAAACCACCTCTTTTATTTTATGCATTAAAAACAATGAGGTAGGCACAAAAAATAAACATATGTAGTTTGGATTTTATTTCTGTTTTTTTTTTTCTTTTTAATTCTGCGAGTGCAGACTGCGGTAAAACTGTTGTCGCACTTCTAGGTTTAAACAAAAATTAAACCTTTAACTGAGGCAGTGCTAATACTGTGACATAACCAAGATCTGGCCTAACACAGAATCATTATAGAAAATGGATTTTTTTTTCCTTTTTTTTTTTTTATCATCTGCACATGTTTCAGGCAATACCTGGTACACAGAAAAAAGACTAAAGTTATTGGCCAAGCCAAAATAAAACTGCAGAAACAACGAAAAAAAAAGAAAACAAGAATTCCACCCCGGCCCCTTCCCACCCTCCCTGTCCCCAAGAAGAAGTTATCCTAGTCACTGTGTCTTTCACATTTTATAAATATTAACTTCTTAAAACCTGCACCTTCCTCTTTGTCCACATATTGTCACATTACAAAAAAGAAATGTCAATTAAATACATTGTTAACATTACTAGACTAGATCTGCCCTCTGTTTCAGCAAGTCTGACTCTCAATACCACTTGTCACCTTCTCTTGCCTGCCTCCCGTCCATTCAACAGCATCTCATGGTAAGTCTGTTTTTTTGTTTTCCTCCTCTTTTTTTTTCCCCTCTGTTTTACCACTAACAAACAGAGTCCTTCAAAGCCTAGGAATCCTGGAGCTGAAGGGAAAAAAAGACCTGTAGCTTTCTAGTGTGATCCCAAATCTCAAAGACATTGTAGCACCTGACGGCAATATCTTTACAGCACCAGCTGCCTTGCAGCCTCAGTTGAAAAACAAAAAGAAACCTAACACCAGTGACGCCTGCACACACATTGACACAGAGTGCTGCCCCCGTGCAGGTCTCTACTCCAGTTGAAAATAATTCCGAGTTATGAAGATCTCCGACTCCGGATGTCAGCCTCTCCTTGCCCAAGCCCAGCACTCTACCAGCTCAGCAGAGAAGTCCTGCCCAGGGTCATGAAATACACTTGGCTGCTGCCGCCCGACCGCACGGAGGCGAAGAAAACCTGCCGAGGAAAGAGGACGGGAAGGTCAAGCGAGGGAGCCGAGACGGCGGCCGCGGCCCTGGCGAGAACGCGGGGAGGGGACGGGTACCTTGTCATTGCGCTCGCACAGGAACTTGAGTCTTTGCGCCCGTTTGTGCATGAACACGCCGTCCAGGTGCCCAGTCTCCACCGATCGGATTTCGATCGCCTTCTCCCCCCAGCCCATGATCTGGTTGGATCGGATGTACGCTGCGGAAAGGAAACACGGCACGCGGGCGGTGACCACGGGCAGCGGCACCGCGGAGCGACCGCGAGGGCAAAGGCCGCTCGGCTACAAAGGACCTGCTTGTACAATACTATAAACACGCACACGCTCACGGTGCTATTTTTGTCTTAAACACCTTCACAATGTCTAAAAAGTCCTTTTCTTTAATTATTATTATTTTCCCATGTGTTTTCCTTCCATGTTCTTGCCTGAGCATTCCTGACATAATGGGAACGTCACAACGTTCAATTAAAGGGAAGGAGCACCAGGATTTGCACAGGCCTTTTCTCCCAGGTTTGACAAAGGGACAGGCTTAATGAGGTGTTGGCAAAAAAGGAAAAACAGTACCCAAGGTTTAAAGAGACTAAATCGATCCCCTTGGGAATGTCCCCTGCATCCCTTCTGCATCTGACTCTGTTATTTTCCCTCTGAAGGAGTCTGTCAGCAAAAATAGAGAGGAAAAGGGAAAGCTAGAAGAAAATTAGATAACATCCTTTATTCTGCTGGACTGAAAAATATTATGTATTTTTAGCAGAGGTTTCTGTTAGCTCTCTAGGTGGAAATAATATTATTTGCCATACAGGTCTCCTTTGCACACAGATGAAGCAAAACTCAAATACTTTTCCTTAGGGTGTCACTAGGCTAAACAGATTAGCACCAGCAGGAGGAAAAATAATCTGTTCTGGATAGCAGCAAAAGTCAAACCAAGGAGAAAGGCTCCAGTATTATGAAAACATATATTAAGTAAGCAATTTGACAGATAGTCTTAGGAATGCTGCCAAAGATAACATATGGGAAGTTAATGAGGAGTAAGCTGTTGCCTCTGATTTGCATTCATTTTTAGTAGTAAAATAAAATGAAAATCAAATAATCTTAGTAATAGTACTTAAAAAATAGCAGTATTTTCCTGTTTACATTTTTTTTTAATATTAATCTTCAGTGAAATTGAACCAAATAATTTACTACTGTATAGAGTACACGTACAGCATGCAACATAATATCGCAGTGGAAACATACTTATTTTTAAAATATGTCCATTATGGTAACTCTTTTACGTAGCTTATTAAAATTGTCAAACAACATCTTAGACGGTGTCACCTGCCCAGATCCGTTTCCTTCACAAGCATTTCCATCTCCAAAGACTGACGTTCTGGGCTCTACAATTTGCCAGTTCATAAATTCACTGGGTTTCAGAAGAGCTAGTCAAGAGTTAATCATCCCCGCAGCGAACACGCTGTGCGTGGAACCTGCCTCCCTTTGCCCCTTCCTTACTGTTTGCACTGCTCTAGCAGTGTTGTCAGAAGTAACCTCCTAACATATGGATCCACCGCAGAGCAAGCAAAGTCACTGTGTTTGCACATACTTGTGTCTCCATAGCATGTCTGCACCCATTTTACTGAGCTTCAGTGCTCCTGCTCTCAAAGCTGCCTATTTTAAGATGAAGACTTTATGCTATCGTGCTGGGGCAATCTAAATTTCCAGGAGAGTAATCTGCTCTGCAGGCAAGTTACAATAAATGCGTTAGTTGGATATAAAGACTGTTAACGACAACAGAATTCCCTCCAATAGTATTTTACTTGTCTGCCACTTTATAAGTCTTTACACTGAAGGGTTTTCATAACTTTGTTGCTGACTAGAAAAAAATTGTAGGAGCTCACAGATCCCTGGTGTTTTATTAAATGAGCTTGTTCATTCATGGGCTTCACTAGATATTTGTGGATTGTGTTCATCAAAACTCAGCAGAAAACAATCCACACGATTACTCTCCACTTTGCACAGCTGTTTCCCAGCAATATTACAACATCACTGCTTCCAAACCTGAAATCAAACCTGATGCATCTCCCTACTCCCTGACTGCGCGTTGTAGTGATTCCCCTGGAGCACTTACCCACGGATGTTGGCATTTCTCCCCACTGCAGAACCACATCTTTCGTGATCCTTCCGTACGTGTTTACGTAAACCCCTTCATCCTCATAACAAACCAACAGCTCCATTCCATCCGTGTTCGGGAGGATTATGATTGCATGCGGTTGGATACTACTCTGGATCTACAGAAGCAGGAAAAATATATATACTTATTTTTTGAATAGCAAAGCCCACTCTGGCAGAAAGGACTGAGTGGCCCATTAGTTGGCTGCCACAGCATTTGCTCACTGCCTTGCAGCCCCTGCTGAGCATTTGCAGTGGGCTTTGCCATTAAGCTGCTGTGTTGGCCGACTTGACTGGGCAGCTCCTGGCCACTGGGACACACCAACCCCAAAGGCAAAATGGACAGTGGATTGGAGAAGCTCATACGTTCCCATGGCCCTATCAGTTTGGACGCCACCACCTCCGTCACCACTGCGGCAGCTGGTGGTGGTTCACAGGGGCAGCCTGAGGTGTCCATGGTCTGCGGGGAAGGGATGGCAGGAGCCCAGACAAAGAAGAAATCCCCAGCCCAGGAGTAAGTAAGTCTTACATGTGTTGGTAGATAAATATCATAGACTGATCCTGAATCCACATCAACAGCGTGGAAGCCAGCGCAGGAGCCATAGATCACTTTTAGCCTCTGACCCTCCTCCACAGTGAGATCCACCAGCAATGGCTTATGTACCAGTTCTCCAAACGACTGTAAAACAAGAATCAGACTTCACTGCTGAGAACCTAGATGGATTTCATTAGAAAGCGAGCTCTAACGCACACATGGTGGGCCTCTGGCCTCCTTCCAACAGACCAGCCAAGCTGACACGTCCTCCAAGGACAAGGATAGATTACTCCACAATCTGCAGCATTTCAACCACATAATATAAGCTTTTGTGGGGAGGGAAAGGGGCTGTGTTACTTTGTTTGGTTTGTTTTTAGTAAGAATTGTTCTCCTCACAGTTCAGGGCAATTTAAAACTCTTTTACTGTTTACTTCAAATTGCACAACTGGCGATAACCAATTGCTCACTAGTCAGTTTGGTACTGATACGAGCCAGCTACCTTCACACTTGCAGCATGCAAAAGGAGCACATCTGAACATCACCTGATGGCTAGTTTTGCTCATGTGTGGATTTTTAGACCGAGTTCACTTTTCTCTGAGTCATCTTTTATTTATAGAGAGGTAATAAATGGTTGTGCTACTGAGTCATGTGGAGTCTTCTGATTGTTAGTTTACACTCAGTTTTAATTTCAAATTTTAGGCATACTGCTTTTTAGAACTAATGAGCTCCTAAATTAGAATATTCTAAAAAGTTCATGATAGATTTAGCAAAGAATTTGCAACACTGCTGCGATAAAGTGTTAGAACATCTTTGCAAAAGGGGTAACTACAAGTGAATTGGTCAATATCATATACACAACTTAAATATACTGTTACCTTAAAGGCCATAAATTTGTGGTATGGCTTTGGTGCCCATGCATAGACTTCCACAGAACTCTTCAATGCAATTACCAAGAATTTGATTCTTTCATATTTTACTGAAATTAAAAGAAAACAAAAAAAAATTTAGTAGTAATTCCGAAGTCATTTTGGTCACTTCAGAAAAGCAGAAAATGACAATATTTCCACATATTTTTGTACTTTAAAGGTTTTTAATAGTAGATTATTTTAGAAAATATAATTACACGTAGTTAAGTATTTTGACGTATTTATGCCAAAACACTCTTCAGTCTTCTCAGTGTCACCATGTTTGGAATTATCCAGTCAGCACACACTTATTTACAGTTATTTCATTCCACATTAGACGCTGCTTACTCATCAAAAGTTTTCAATCACAGATATTTCCTACAATAGAAACCTTTGACTGTGGCAGAGTTTATTGACAGTTACAATCACCACACTGGCATTACTCAAACCATGAGTATATTCTGAGCTGATGGCAAAAACTCCCCAGAAGGTAGGAAAAAAAAAAAAAGGAAGTGAAATGAGTCCATTTTAAAAGCATATTTGATTGCGGAGCACTTTCTTTTGTTCCCAAAGCCTGAGATTACTCATTAGTAGGAAAATAATTAAACCTAAGTAGAGAACATAGAATAACCACGTTCATAGCATCAAAAAGAAAAACTGTTACCAAAAACTTTAAAAGAAAGACTAAGTAGCTGCCCAGAAAGCTCTTTGCTACCCAACAAGTTAAAAGAAACAGATAGCTAAGCAAATGCAAATGCAAAAAAAAAAAAAGTTATACTACCTGAAGTTTCTCTAATTTACTTTATTCCCTAATTCTGAAGTAAAGCAGAGGAGCTAAAATCACTCTTACTGACAATTTTGTTAACACATTTTACCTTCTGTCTAAAAGAACAGAAAAAAAATCTGAGCTGTTGAGGAGTCAGGATTTTTTCTAGGACATTTCAGAAACAACACCCTAAAAACAGATTCTCCAAAAATATATGTGACGTTCTTCAATATCTCACAACCTTTTCTTCTCCCTCCCCGCCCCGAAAGAAGAGCAACAATTGTACCATATCAGACACAAAGAAAGCTGCTGGGCAGTGCTAGTCCAGGGCTTGAAAAAAAACAAAACCAAACACACACCATTTACCAGGGTTAATAACGTGTCATTACACAGCAAATTGTGGCAAATTCTTCAATATCTCCCTCTCTGTTCCCCTGTTCAGAGAGCAACAAACTAACAGCCAAGCAAAGCTCTGTTTGCTATTACTATTTCCAAGAGGGCACTGATGAAGTCTACAAAAGTGTGGCTGGATCTGCATTTGCAACTGCTATCTGAATTTGGGAAAGAATATACCCTGGGGACTTCCACCATGTTGTCTTGTGTTAGGCTGTGAAATACTTTTTTTTCATGGAAGAAAAAATAGAAATACCAATTAATACCTATTCAGCCGCAGGAGACTTCTCCCCATCTCTTAACACCAAGTTTTAGGGGAATATGATGTCTTTCAGAACCGGTGAGTAACCCCCTGCATCTCCACCTTATACCATTCTATCTCCAAGCCAAACCTGATTTTGACACAGGGTGAGAGAGAAAATTGTTCTTGTGTTCCTGTGAGAACAGTGCTGCTTTAATAATATTATTTTAATGCCTTTTAGATACTCAGCTGTTGTACAAGTCTGTAGCTGTTCTCTCTTGGTTAGCAATAGAGAGACAAAGCTATTACGTGCTCCCTATTGTTTGCAGGGAAGGAAGAACACTCAACTGTAAGTGTTAAAGGACTTGATGATTTTTCAATGGGAAAAAAAAAGTCTCAATCTCCACAGCTATACTGACTGAAAAATAGTGTTTTGTTCAGTCTTGTCTACAAAACTTCTTGGAATTCTTTCCTTTTGATTTTTTTTTTTTTTGGTGGTGGTAGTGGTGGTAGAGGGGGGTGTGCAATACAACCACCTTATCTGAAAGGGCTCCTTTGATAATCCCCATTCTTTGCTCTGGGAATGCACCCAAGTCTTTGTTTCAGGAGCGCGATTTATCATTTAGAAGAGCCAAGAGCTGCCCGGAGCAATGGAGATCCAGGACCGCCCCTTCCCTCGGAGGGCTGAGAGCCCCGGTTCACCGCAGCCGCAGAGGGCGGCGGGACCAGCCGCACGGCGGGCAGCTCCCTGCCTGCGAGCGCCCCCGTTTGCAGCGCTCATCCCTCCTGGGATGAAACTCAGGCCTCCAAGAGGCCTCCCACCATCTGAAGAAATCTGCTGTACACCTGCAGTTCACTGCAAAGCTCAGTGCCAGGCTGCAGCCCCATGCAACAAATCCTTCTTCCTCTGGAAAGGGATTTCCTTTGTATGCCTGCCCTCCGCTGCTGGAAAGCCTCCATTAAAGAGCTGTTAATGCATTGCTAACAGGCCGCTTCATTATGCTGCTGACAGCAGCAGCAGTCAAGCAGCTACCAGACCAGAGCAATGCATCATAAATTGTTTTCTGGGTCAAGGTTTTGGTGGGGCCATGACTTACTGCCATATTTATTGACTATGCCCCACTAGCGGGCTTTTCCAAGAGCACATGGATGAGAGATGCTGGCTGAGCTCAGCCTGACTGCTGCTGTTTAGCACGGCCACAGCTACCAAAAGCAAAGGCAACACCGAGGGTCCACTAATCTGCATCACTTCCAGAGGATGGTACCAGGGAATCAGAGCAGGAGAAAAAGCTCCTAGTTCACATCCCCACTTGCAGGGCAGCAGACTCACTGCGTGGGCCACTGACTGGGAGAACACTGATGTCCTCCACCCGTTTCGGTGGAATTGTCTACAGCTAATGAATTTAAACGAGTTAAGACCATCCAAAGCAGCCTGCCTTGTGGAAACACGCTTCAGGCCATAGCTGCATCGCAGCCTATCCGAGAAGGCGTTAGCAAACATCATGAAGTAAGGGGAATCAGTGAATCATCATGAAGTTCAAGCATATGCTTCTGTTCCCAGACGCCCATCCAAAGCAAGCACACTATCTAGGTTTGCCTTCCCCCTCACGCTCACCCACAAAGATCTGCATTAAAAAGGAGACATTTTTTGTCATGAGTGAAGTTCTGAGAAACTAATTAGCACAGGGAGCAGCAATTGGATGGCACCATGGGTAGACCCTGAAGGGTCTAACAGAGGTGCCTGTATCATCCCTCTCTGCCCATATGGGACAGAGCCATGGGAAACAGACAAGGCAATCTGAGCCCATTCCACTTCACAGCCCCACATCCCACTGCAAAACTTCTTCCATATTCAGTATAACCAATATGCTGGCATCTACTCTGTCACTTCGCCAGAAAAGCTTGCCCTCAGGGATAGAGAAGACAGCTAGAAATAGAAATAAATCTTCAGCCCAGCAGCTACATGGACTGCAGCCCTCGGTCTCAGCCAGCTTTCATCTTGACAGCTTTGATTACCTCATTTGCTACTTACCAACTTTATAGTGCACACAGCCTTCCAAGTCACCCACAGTTGTCCAACCCTGTTTCTTTTCCACTTCAGGATCATTGTGAAGGATTTTATTTCTTAACCAGGACAAATAGTAAACTCGCAGCTTGTTCTTCTTACCTAGCCACAAAGGGAAAAAGATTGGTTTATCTCTGAACAGAAAGATAAATGCAACCCCCTTCCTTCTCAAACCAACAAAAAACACCCACAGAACAAACCAAAATAACAACGAAGGGGAAACTGCTGCAATCAGAGACATCCCCCTCCCTATTTATGTCCACAAGAGCTTTAGATGAAACTCTACCCAAACACACACCAACATGTTAATCAGTGATGGAGACGCATGGTAATACTCCATGGATATAAAATGACAAACTCGGGGAAATAAGTCTCTGGTTTTCTGGCTCTTAAGGCTCCAATAACTTTTATTTCAAGGTCATAAAACCACAAAAAGACCCCAGAGATTCATGAACAGATATATGTCTATATACATTTCTTTAAAAAAAAAAAGTGTAACTAAGTTGAAACAGCCCTCTTTTTGCACAGAAACTTAGGAGAGCAGCATGACAGAATGCAAGGCCTAAAATTACCCACACAGCTATTGGAAGATATAGGACTGGTTTCAAAGAAGGAAGTAAAAGCAGAGAAGAACATGGCAACCAAATGTATTTTATAAATTCTTCACAGTTAATGATCAGGCCATTTCCATCACTTAAACCAACCCCCGAGACACAAACAGGCCAAGTTTTATCAAGATTGTTTCTTATACAAGTTTTAGTGCTAAGTAATGTCAAGGTGTAACTACTTCACATCTGTTAAGTTTTAAGTAAAAATGCAGCGTGTCTCAAACTGCAGCAGGGAATTTGCCCACTGCTCATGTAAACATCCATGACCAGCTTGCTCAGAGCTGACACCGGCCTTGTCAGCAGACTTGACCTTGTGCTCCAAGGGGTGCACGTAGCACTCATCAGGCTGCAAACTGCAACTCCGAGAGAGGCTTCTTCTCCACAAGCCAGAGAATCTAAATATTTGATATCTTCAGCTGACATCGTATCTGCCCTGGTCATTAAAATACAGCTCAGACAAACACTCAATATCAGAACGCCACCTCGAGCACAGAACAAGGTTCACAACAAACTTTATCAGTGGTTCTCTAAGAACTAACAGCCTACAAAGCACTGAATTAATGAGAAATGCACATCCTAATGCACATCCTCAAACCTTGCAACTGGCTTTGCTGTTGTCACTAAAGTCCTGCAGATGAAATGGGAAGCAAGGAACAGAGGTCTTTCACCAGGAACCCGTAAACGGGGCTCCATGAGGTGCCTCTGCACAAGGAAAGGAAACAGGAGAAGCCCTCGGGGACCTGACTTGTCAGCAGAGTAGCTCCATGTTTCCCTGTTAAGGCTCTAGCAGTCTGGGCTCCCCCGTGCAAGAGGGACGTGGAGCTTCTAGAGAGGGT